CCAGAAGATGCTCGGCGGGCAGGTAAAGCCCATGATCACGACGTGCGACATGCGACACCTCTACCTCGCAGAACCGAAGAACGAGACCCTCATATTACAAGCCAAGGAGTACGAACGTCGGCGGTGCAACCATCAAGATTTGGAGAAGCCGCTGAGCACGCTCGAGTGCCTGAGCTCCGTGGTGGACCCCAAGGACAATGCGACAAACAAGCATCGATATGTCGTCGCCGCCAACGACCCGAGCACGCGCGCAAAGATGCGACAGATCGCCGGTGTACCCATCATATACCTGTCCAAGTCTATAGTGCTCATGGAGTCTATGGCTGATGTGACGGAGCAGCACCGCGAGCGAGAGGAAAAATCAAAGTTCAAGTTGGGACTCAAGGGACAGCGGAAGCCAGATGCGGCCACGGCCCCGAAGAGGAAACGAGAAGACGAGGGACAAGGTGATCAATCTATTGGAGATCAGGCTACGGGAGACGCAAAGCCCAAGGCGAAGAAGCGCAAGGGCCCCAAGGGGCCCAACCCGCTGAGCGTCAAGAAGCCGAAGAATGACAAGACGACCAAGCCCACTGCTACCAAGAAGTCGCGGCCGTCTACATCTGAGACCAACGGTGGAGACAGTCAGAGGGGCGACCGGGAAGAATCAGCACCTCGTAAGAGGAGGCGGAAGCACAAGTCCAAGGCTGATGATGGCGGCGATGCGCCGGATGGAGGTGAGCCTGCCTCGCCATGATAGCCGGAGCAGGAGAACTTGGTCCAAGTGTGGGCCAACATGCGATACCCGAACATACTGGAGGCTGTCAGGTCTGAGAGTCGAATCGGCGGGACAACCTACCCTGATCGTATGTCATGCATTATATAGGTCAATTGGGGCGAGCGCGTTGGAGGTAAAGACTCGCGATGATAGTCCTATACTCTCTTGCCTTGCGCAAGGAGATCGGAGACCTTAGGCGGAAGAACAAGCGCACTCCGGTCGTTGCGCTTCACAAACTCGACCACGACTTCAGCAGTCTTTTCCGGGAGGTCTTCGTGGAGGAAATGCCCAGCGGCAGGAAAGACCTGGAGTTGAAATTTACCTGTATTACATTAGATACCTCATACAAAAGCGACAAGGCGATAGACATACCTTGCATCTGCCCAATCATCAGTTCCTTATCCAGCCTGTCGGTTCCAGCGAGTAGCAACAACTTTGCCCCCTTTCCGCTGAGGAACTTGCCGCTCATGCCCGTGAACCAGTTCTCCCAGTATGGCTCTGTGCTCGCGAGCTCCGTCCGCCATGCCCATCGCCCATCCGAGTTCTGTAGTAGCAGGCTTGGTACGCTTGCTCGCGCCGACTGGGGGTTGCGTATCGTTCGTGATCGTATGTGCCACTCGATAGCAGCAGGAAGCGAAGGGAACGACTTGGGCCTACTCGCAAGGTAAGTGTGCATATGTGCCAGTGTTTCCATGGCCGAGCCCTCGACAACATCAAGCACTCCAAAGCCTAGCAGCTTGTTTCCTAGTAGGCCCTTGTTCGCAGCGTCGGTGACGACTGCACCACCCAGACTGTGTCCTATCAACACAATCTGTGGGAGCTCTTTCCAATTCATCTTGCTCTTGGTCAGCGACAGCATGTCGACTAGATCTTGACTGAGCTGCCCAATGCTCAGGTCGTTGTCCACTTCTCCACTAGCGTTCCATACTACACTTCCGTGGTCGCGTGCTTCGACAGCTAGGATCCCAATTTCTGGCATGGCCCTGCGAATCTCCTTGGCTGCCAGCGCAAAGGACATTGCTGAGCTCCCAGCGCCATGGTGGAGCACGACCAAGGGTGCTTTCGCTGTCGCTGGCGGTGTGAGGTATACATGAAACTTGGCATGCCCTGACCCATCCCTGCGCTGCTCAAGATAGAACTCCTGGGCGTAGTAGTCGGACCAATGTATTGCGGGGGCGGGTCTTAGTGTATTTGACGGTCTGACAGTACCGGTGCTAGACATTGACGATGCCGAAGACGAGTCATCTTCGTACTCGGGAGGCTCCTCCTGCAAGGGCTCCGGCGGTGGCAGGGAAGAAAGTTTAGTCTTTGCGAACTCTCTAGCCAAGCTGGACATGGTGGCTTGGGCGAGGCTGTATTTGTGTCGAAAAATCAGGGTTTCGTGAGCGTGGAGATCCGCCCGTCAGTGATTGGCCGCTAGCTTCTCTCGAGCGTTCCAATATGTCGTGGCCTGGAGGCGTGAGGGGAATCGACGCAGGCGGGGTGCTATCAGATAGACGGCAGGGATAAAGGCCAATGTCTTAGCGAGAGGCCGTTCGAGGCAAAAAGAGATGCATCGCGAAGCCCGTTTCGCAATCCAATGACGCAGCGGCGTTAGACGACAGTGAGATGCGGCACGAGGCTGGGCGGTACCGTGGAGATGGTTGGTACGTGGTAGGGATCGCTTGGAGGTTTCCGCGGGACGATCTAGCCTTCTGATGTGCGCTAGTCGCGAACTTGGATGAACTGTGATGATGACGTCGGTCGATCTTTGGCTTAGCGCGTCAAGCATAAGTAAAACCTCCACGCCCCCGGTCGCCTTCCTGGAAGCTTCACGAGCTTCGAATAGCTCCAATCTTTGCCAATCTTTCCTGGGACCTCTACGGATCCTTGCACATCACCGATAAGTGTTATCGTCCGCTCAGACTACCATATCGCAGGTGTTTGTAGCTCCAAGAGCTCCCAATGCCCAGCATGTGGAAGGGAAATGACAACGACAATGGCGGCCAGGGTCTTCTGTCAGCTCAGGAACCCACACCAATCTCCAACGACGATGGAGCGTCGAGGTCGTCGCGCAGAAGTAATGGAGCGTCGAGGAGAAGCGAAGAGCCCACCGAGAGGACCCGTCTTCTCGACCGTCCCAGGCCACCACCCAACTCGGATGGTTACCTCGATCCAGATGACCCAGCTGTAAGTTGTTTGAGGTTCTTATGAAGATTTATCTAACCATGGCAGGTGTCACCGTACAATCTGTGGACTGTTCGCGCCATGCGATACTTGACCATCCTTTTCCTCGTAGTCACCTTCTTGTGGTGGGTGCTTTTGCTGGTCTCCATCTTCGTCTCCCCTCCTGGCCTACACACTCGTGGATCCGGCTTCTTCGACTTCGCCTACACATGTCTCACCCTTGGCAACCTCCTCGTCGCAACCATCTTCTTCGTTACTCCTGCCAGAGGTCTGCGCATCACCACGGCCATCATCGCTGGACTTCTAGCTATCGATATGATCCTCATCTTGGCCATTCCTCGCATCAGGCTCGAGGAAGGCTGGGTCGGTATCGCAAGTGTTGTCTGGGCTTTCGTCATGGCTGTGTGGTGCATTCTGACCGATCGTGTCGTCGCATACGGCAAGCACGAAGAGGAGGAGCGCCTTACTGGCCGAGCCGAGACGCGCCGCACTCTGAAGGAATGGCTCGCTGTCACAGTCGCTACGATTCTTACCGTCATTTTCATCGTCATCGTCATCTTGATGACTGGAACTCTCGGCATGCGAGGCCGCGACGCAACACTCAAGATGTATGGTGAACGCATCCTTGTAGACGGCGACAAGTACGCCGTTCATCTCGCCTGCGTCGGAAACGTCACCCAGAGCCACGGCGTCAACGACCCTACCATCCTCCTCGAGGCAGGCGAATCGCCATTGGAGTACGACTTCGAGCACTGGGCCTACGCAGCTTACAAGAACGGTACCATCTCCCGCTACTGCTACTGGGACCGCCCCGGCTATGCCTTCTCTGACAACGCACCCTCCCCACACTCGGCCGGCATGTCCGCAGACGCATTCTCGGAAGCTCTTGCTAAGGCTGGAGAAGAGGGTCCTTATATTCTGGTGTCTGCGGGTACTGGCAGCATCGTCTCTCGTATCTTCAGTTCGCGTCACCTGAAGCAGGTCGTTGGTATCATGATGATCGACCCTCTCCACGAGGATCTTCTGCACCGCATCGGTGGCCCCGGCCGTGGTTTCATTCTCTGGGCTTGGGGTATCATCTCTCCAATCGGCACCGTCCGTCTCGCAGGCGCGCTCTTCAAGGGTCGCACTCGTGAAGACCGTGTCTACGGCCGCAACGCATACCAATCGGGCAAATACATCAAGGCGCAGCTCCAGGAGAACCTTGTCGCTGACAGCCTGACCAAGAACGAGGTCTCGTCTGCTAGGAACATTCAGAGCGCCAACACTCCGCTTGTGATCGTGTCCAGTGGTATCAAGGTCAAGACGGACTCTGAGTGGGAGCGAAAGCAGAAGGATCTGACTACCCTCACTGACAACCTCGTCAGCTGGGACGTTGTCAATAAGGCGCCTCATCAGGTCTGGGATACGCTCGACGGACGCACTGTCATGGAGAAGCGTCTCAAGCAGCTCGTCAAGGCTGCCGCCAAGGTCAAGAGCGAGGCTGAGGAGTAGAAGCATCTATCTGTTGCACTGAGATGCGCTAAGATGTTTCGGACGGGCTACTATGTGTTAGCGATACAGTTTCGGAAAATTCTTCTCCTTTCAAAGTTGATGCTTCATCTCTATTATGTTCTGGGCTTTCCTTGGCATACCCTATGGCGTTGCATGGTTAGGTTTCTTGTCTTCTTTACATGTAGCACGAGCACATATCAGATACTAGTCTAATGTCTAAGACCATGTTCAATGAAATTTTCGTTATCGTGAGGAAGAGTAGTTTGGTTTTGTCCGTGTTGTAGGATACATCCAATGTATACGTCACAATACAACGTAACGGATAACATTGTGACACTGCAGCCCAATTTATGGAATTTGTGTACTCGCATTTCGATTGATGTAGTCGCCAGAATAGGTCATAAGCTAGACGACTGAGCCGTTAACATTAGCTGAGAATCTCCTGGCGTAGGTCAGGTAATACCAATAAGACAGAATTACATGAACGTATTCTGCAATGCATACCACTCGATCCACTCCATATACTCTTACTCTCTCCTCAATACCCCCGTGTAAAACCCTAAACACATGCCATCCTACCCATCTACCTCCTTCCAAACTTCTTCTTCCCAACAACCGGTCTCTTAACCACCCCCTCCACATCAGCCTCTTTCTTCTTCACCACACCCGCCTTCTTAACCACAGGCCCATTCTCCTCCTCCGCAATCCTCCTATCCTCATTAGCCTTGTCAACCGCCATTTGCGCCTCCAGCTCAGCTTTCCTGTTGAATTCCGTTTCCATGATACGCTTGTCCCTTGCCGAGTATCCTTTTTCTTTGATACTGTAGAAGACTGCGCCCATGTCTGCGAGCCAGTGCGGATCTACAGATGTGACACAGGACATGTATTCTTTACTTGTGAGGATGAGTTCGTGGTATACGACGTAATCGGGCAAGTAGCCCAGACCGTACAGTGCAGATGTGGGGTGGAGTTGAATGGTGACGCTCGTACGCAGGTTGATGTACTCGCCTATACCTTTCACCTTGGCGGCTTGGTGATAGTAGCCAGAGCAGATGCATTTACGGATGACATCCCAATCGGTACCACACGAGACGAGCTTCATCTTCTGCTTGGACATGATGTCGTAGATCTGGTCGCGGATTTCCTTTGCGCGGCGCAGCGCTTTGGGGTGCAGGAAGTGGCGGATGCACCAGCCGTCGGAGTAGCCGTTTACTTTCCATTGCGTGTATACGTGGAGGAGGGTGAGGTGGTCAGACTCTGGGACGAAGAACTTCTCGCGCGCGGCGTCGGATTCTTCTTGGCGCTCTTTGGGGCGGTAGAAGACTGAGGGAACCGAGAGCATGGCGACAATTGTAAGCATTTCTTCGCTGCATTCCATTTCTGTGGCAGTGATGATGAGTTTGGCGAGCGAGGGGTCCATGGGGAAAGCGGTCATGGTGCGGCCGAGTTCAGTGAGGTTGCCGATGTTGTCGAGGGCGCCGAGGGCCCAGAGATCGAAGAGAGAGGTTGTTATTGTGTCTTGGGGTGGCGGGTCCATGAAGTCGAAGTCTAGCAGATCTCGCACGCCGAGGGATTTGAGGAGAAGGACCGTGTTGGCAAGGTTTGTTCGTTGAATCTCTGGGATGGTCTGGATGTAGAATTCATCCCTAAAAGCTCTCTCAGTGTACAAATGGAAACACTTTCCAGGTCCAGTACGTCCAGCGCGACCAGCACGTTGAGAGGCATTGGCCTGTGAGATAGGTGTGATCTGGAGCGTGTCCATGCCCATCTTCGGGTTGTAAACCTTGAGCTTAGAAAATCCAGCATCCACCACATACATGATGCCGTCCACCGTCAAACTCGTTTCTGCAATGTTGGTGGCCACGATGACCTTGCGTACGCCGGGGGCTGCTCTGTCGAAGATCTTTGCTTGCAGATCGGCAGGCATCTGACTGTAGATTGGTAAAATACTGAGTTTTGGCGGGTCATTGAGAAGTTTCAGCCTTTCAGCGACCAGTTCGCACGTGATTTCAATGTCTTCCTGACCCGTCATGAAGACCAGAATATCGCCAGGCCCCTGGGAGACATGTATGGCGAGCACCTGCTTGACTGCGCTGTCGACATAGTCCTCGCATGGGGACCGCGAGTATTGGATGTCAACGGGAAATGTTCGCCCTGGAATTATGAACTCGGGAGCTCCTCCGTAGAAGCGCGAGAATCGTTCCGAGTTCATGGTAGCTGATGTGACGATTAATTTGAGGTCTCTTCTGCGTGCCAGCACTTTTTTGAGAAGTCCCATCAGTACGTCGGTGTTCAAAGCTCTCTCGTGGGCCTCGTCCATGATGATGCAGGAGTATTTGTCCAGGTCCGGTTCCACCAATGACTCTCGGAGTAACACACCATCCGTCATGTACTTGATCTTGGTCTCCTTGCTGGTGCAGTCTTCGAATCGAATGGCATATCCGACCTGCCCACCAAGTTTCACCTCCATCTCTTCACTCACACGTTTCGCAACACTCATGGCTGCGACACGACGAGGCTGCGTACATCCGATCAGCCCTTGCTTTGCGTACCCGTCCTCAAAAAGGAACTGGGTCAGTTGGGTCGTCTTTCCAGAACCCGTCTGACCGACCACAATAACGACTTGGTTGTCTCGTATCACGCGTAGGAGGTCTTCTCGGACAGCGAAGGCCGGAAGATACTGTCTCTGCTCTCGGAGTGTCTTGCTCTTACTGAAAGCACTCGCACCCTCTTGTTTGCTGAGATGCTGCGCAAACTTGCTGCCGCCCTGCTTCTCCTCGTCTTCTGGGCCTGGGGCAGCACTATCCGTGTCTTCTTCTTTGACTCCCATGATGTTTCCTAGCGTTGTTCCCTTCGCACTGGTAGCTTCCTGCGTCTGTTTCGCGCGCTCTTTCTGTTGACGTTTCTCCTTTACAACGCGACTACCACGCCGACTGAAAACGGCCATATCGCTCTGCGGATCGCGGACGGCCGGAACGGGGTCGATTTGCTTGGTGAAGACAGTCTTTCCGTCCAGAAACGGGGGCTTCAAATCGTGCACAAGAATATGCACCCGCATCGCGTCCTCCTCGTCGTCGAAGTCGTCGTCAAGATGTCTCCTTTGGGCCACTCCAGACTGCAACATGCGGTTGGTTTCCCAAGCATCTACATCCTTCTGCTTCTGCTGCGCGCGCATACTTGCTCGGTTGTTCTGTTTCTTCTCCGTCATAGCAGCCTCCCGTTGTGCATCCAGCCATGTGCTCTCGGCACCACCAAAGGGGTTGTGGGTATCGTCTCCGAAGGTGTGTCCGTTCTCCTCACCGCCGTACCAGTCGCGATCCAGCGCCATAGAATCAAAATCCTCCACCAGAGGTTCTGACCCTTCCAAAGGCCGCTGCGATGGGTTTGCGCCATTATCGCGCGAGTTTGTATGCCGTGCAGAGGCAGGCTGATTGGGCTTGCGAAACTTGGGACGGGGCGCGATGGAGTATTCCTCAGGGTCGAGCTTGCGCCGTTTTGGGCTGTGACCGCGTTCCATGGTGATCGAGGTGCCGGGGACGCTTATAGACAAAGCAGGGTGGGTGAGCGTATGGAGGGAGGGCGATGGCGAGTGTCGTAGCTTGAGGGTTGAGAGGCCGAGAAAGTTGATGCTCTCTCTCGGGAGTCCGCAATTGTCGCTATCGATAAGGACGAGCTTCAGCCAATCGTTGCGGGGCGCCCAAAATTATTTCCAACCTTTTGAAAAAGTTCCCCACGCGACTTGCGCTCTCACTGCGCATTCGACTTTACATTACCAGCGCAATGTCTATGATCACAGCGACGACGTGGGTGCCGCGCGGCTATGCGGCGCCCTTTCCTTCACGGTACCAGTTCGACGAGGACGAGTACGAGCGCATATCCAAGCTGGCAAACCTCCAACTCGAGGATGCCAAGGAAGATCTCGAGGAAGCGCAAGCCGAAGAACGGAGCAAAAACGGAACTTCGACCAAGGCTTCCAAGAAGGACGATGAGTGCGTGCACTCAATAAACAGACTACCTCAAAGACTAACGACTGGAAAGGGACGACGATGACGACCTCAAGGAATACGACCTCGAGCACTATGACGACGATGTTGCTGAAGACCGCGGCGATACCATGGCCATGTTCGGCAACGCGAAGAACCTGGTTTTCCACGAGAACGACGAGGACGATCCGTACATCACGATGAAGGCTGGAGAGGAATCAGATGACGAAGAGCGTGAGGAGCTTCAAATTCTGGCTACAGACAACTTGGTTCTGGCTGGTCGCATAGAAGACGAAGTCGCGCATCTTGAAGTCTACGTATACGAAGACGAGGACGACAATCTCTACGTGCACCACGACATCATGCTGCCCGCAATCCCACTTGCCGTCGAATGGTTAGATCTGCCCGTAGGCAAGTCGGTAGGCACAAGTGAGGGTAGGGGAAACTACGTCGCGGTTGGAACCATGGATCCTGATATCGAAATCTGGAACCTGGATGTGGTAGACAGCATGTACCCAGATGCAGTTCTTGGACAAGGCGCCGAGGACGCAAAGGCAGACAAGCCCAAAAAGAAGAAGAAGAAGTCGAAGAAGGCCAACGACGAGTTCCACGTCGATTCAGTCCTCTCACTCGCAGCCAACCGACAACATCGAAACTTCCTCGCTTCGTCATCAGCAGACAAGACTATCAAGCTGTGGGACCTGAATACGACAAAGTGTGCCAAGTCATACACGTACCACACAGACAAGGTCTGCTCCGTAGCCTGGCATCCCGTCGAGGCCACTGCTCTTCTCAGTGGTAGCTACGACAGGACTGTGGTGGCAGCCGATGTGCGTGCACCCGATGCAAAGGCGCCACGATGGGGTGTTGAGAGTGATGTCGAGACTGTGCGGTGGAATCCTCACGACCCGAACTACTTCTACGTAAGTGTGGCAGCACCAGCTTGATCACGTCGTACTAACAACCTCAGGTCTCTACTGAGAATGGTATGATACACTACCACGACGTCCGCAACGCGCCAAAAGACCCCTCTGCCTCAAAACCAGTGTGGGTACTACAAGCTCATGACGAATCCATCTCTTCATTTGATATTAACCCAGTGATACCCGGTTACCTGGTCACAGGCTCCACAGACAAGCAAGTAAAACTGTGGAACATTCAAGATAACGGTCCCAGCATGGTTGTATCGCGGGATCTCGGTGTTGGGCGAGTATTCTCAACATCTTTTGCACCCGATAAAGAAGTGGGTTTCCGCCTTGCTGTCGCAGGTAGCAAAGGTGCAGTCCAGATCTGGGACACAAGCACCAATGCGGCCGTGCGCGCGGCTTTCGCGACCAAGGTGCCCGCTATCAGAGGAGATGGCAAGGAGAGGCTCGTGGGTCTGGAGGAACAGGACACAGACTCCGATACCGAGGAGGGCGAGAGCGATGAGGAGGGTGCCGAAAACGGTGACGAGAAGGGTTGGGAGTCGATGGAGGAAGACTAGACGATGATACCCTGAGCATATAAGATCCAAAAGGCGTCGCGAATGTACCGAGCTCTATGCTATGTGTACGGTGTTCTATATCCTGCACAATCGAGCCATCCGTGAAGCTTGTCCCCGCAACACTCGAGGCCATGTTTCGCGGGTCGCAATCGCGAGTCAGGTCCCGCACACGTTTCGAAAATTGTCCGAACCAGCTCGCCCTTACTTTTTAGCTCCTTTCATCTCATCTGAATCGAGTAGCCTCACCATGGCGCAGCACGATTCATAGTGGACTATTGTAATGACATCACTATCACCACGAGCAACCAAAATCAATAAATGATAAACGATAAACTCAGATTCGTTTTCTCTGCCATCGCATGAGCGTGACAAAGCAAAGTAGGAACGAGCGGGCGAACTCACAGCACTGGGCAGTCAGCAAGCGGCCGGCTGATCTGCGTTCGCAGCTTGGAGCCCTAAGTCTGGGCACCCTCATCGACACCAAGTGGACCTCGCTGCCTCAGGTTGCGATCTCGCGAGATGACGGCCAGATCGTCACCTCAAGGCTACCCGGTCTCGGCGCTTTACAGTTTCGAAACCACCAAGGACGCGCAAGGCGGAAACGCCAAAACCATCTCCCCTTTGATGATGCCCATGGCCAGCACACTGACATCCTCGGAGGGTGCGAGACAGCTGTCTATTCGTGCGTCTGCAAGGCACGCGTGGCGTCGAGTGAGCGGCCTGCTTTGGGCGCTTCTGCATAAGGTTCTAGAGTGCCATGTGACCGGATTGGGAGGGGGTTGACAGAAACGCCGTCCCCAACGCAACCACGGTACCGTTTGCGCAGGCATCGGTGCTTATCCATAATGCCATGCCATGCGTGCAGCGCATGCGCTGTCGGGGCTGAATGACAGCTGTGCCTCCGACGACCGACTGCGCTTACTCGTCGCATATTTCTCCGTCATCTCACATGTCAATGCCGCGCGACAGGAAAGGGAAGGCCCTTAATTCAGCTCGGCAGCAGACCTCTGTTGTGGGAAGTGTTGAAACAGCGGGCCTTTGCAGCCCCAGCCAAAGGCGTGCGGATCTGGGAAACAGGCCAACGAGTCCCGGCTCAATCTGAGACGAATGGGCGGTAGATGCACTCTGTGCGAAGCGATCCCATTCGCCCGCTGTAGAAAACGTATCACTCACTAAACTTAGCCGGGCTGTGTCGACGCCACTAACTCAGTATCCCAGGAACCAATACATGCTGATTCGCTGCTTTTTGCTTGGTTCTGGCGTTCCCCCGGTCATTCCTACCAATCTTCGAGAGACATGTCGACGCGGCTTGGTTAGCCTGCCGCCCCGGGGATGCTGGTTTTTCAACCCATTCAGTCGCTCTATCGCGCGCCGCCCTCTTCTTCAGGCTTCCTCCCTTCCTTTGCCTTACGCGCTCTCGTTGCCTTCCACAGCAGCCATCATTCTCTCATTTCGCGGCCCGGTGTTCGCTCCTTACGACACAGCTGGTCTCTACGCTCTTTGACAGACGAACTTACTTCACATCCACCATTCATTCTTCACCCCATCGCTAAACGCCGCGATCTCAGCATCAGAAAACCGAAAATCAAACAAAGAACCCAGGACCCAAGGATTCGACTGCATCACTGGAAGCAACCGTGCCGGACTCTCAAGCCAACATTCTAGCCGCATTTGTACCACAATTACGACTCCGACATCCACCGACATCCAGTGCACTGTTACACTGCAAAGGGCACGCGTCCAAATACACCACCGATAGCACAGCGTGATCTTTTCCAGATCCTTTCTAGAACACGGCGACAAACGCATTAGTGCAACTCTAGCTCGCGACTGTTTGGATCTCGTGCCAGCCTCAAGCGCAATCTATCCCAGGCAGTACCCCGCATATCTGCATCGCACCAAAGTAGCGACCAACTACAGTCACCGCCAGAATTACCGGCCCCAGAACCGACAGCTGGACCCTTATCTGCAATATCGCACATCTACTTTGAATTAATCCATCAATATGTCTCTCGCTCGTGCCATGACAAGGCGCATTAAGCGGACAGAAGAGCCGAAGGACTCCACGGTGTCGCCGACTCGCAGCCAGAGTGTCAAAATGGCCAACAACAACTTTGACCGTTCCAAGATCTCTCTTCCTATCGCCCTGGTGTCGACTACCAACATGCTTTCGTACAATGCGCCCGACATCTCGACCCTCAGGAATGTCTCCTCTTCAACTTCCCTCAGCCACTCCTCGGCGGACGACTCGGACCACAGTGTGTCAACACGCTCCCGGGCCTCTTCGCATGGTTCAAGAGACACTACCCTGACCGATGCCTCTTCTGTGGCGTCTTCACCAATCTCGCCCGCGCCCAACCACCTTTCCGGCTACTTTTCATCCTCTGGCAAGCAACTGAAGAAGTCCGCCTCAACTACCAGTCTCAAGCAAGTCAAGGAGGAGACTGTAGAGGCAGTGCCTGCTATTCCTCAGAGGGCTCTCTCGCACAGCAAAAAGGCACATGAGCGCCTGGCGCACAAGCGATCGCTTCAGAATGTAAGCACTCGCGGCAGCATGAACTCGCGTGGAAGCGTCGGTTCTGCACGCCACTCGCGCGAACAGCGCTCGTCGCTCGACATGTTCAAGGGCACGATTGAAGAGGAGAACCACCCCTTTGGCCGTGAGCTCGAGCAACTGAACGAAGTCGTCGAGGAGTTTGGCGGCGTAGTACGAGATGCAGAGACCGAAGCGGACATTTCCATCATGCGCTCGAAAAACCTCGCAGCTTTCTGCGCTGCCGATTACCTCTCAGAGATCCGCCCACTATTCAGCCATCGATTCGCCATCAAACACCAACCCGCACCCATGGCCTGGATCTGATCAAGTCTCCTTACTGTGCTCCCCGGACGGTCTCCTTTGCTCTCAGCCCTATACCTTAGACGATGTCTTACGCTCTCGTTTTCCGTGTACATACTTATAGGGACTGTGATCCCCACCACTCATTTGTCTAATTATAGTTTTTCCATTGTTTTACTATCTACTTGCTGGCCTGGTTGGAAGGAACGCAACACGGCGTTTCGGACTGCCAGCGTCAGGCTTGGGCACTAATCCCACACTATCCCTAACGATCTCTCATGTTTATCTTGTACGATGTTATTGAAGAAGCGGTCAGCCGCAGGCGCTGTTGGAGGAATACGATGCATGGGTTTGGGTTGGCTGGACGTAGTGGTCACACTGCGCTCATGTCTTACTCAGATGAATGTGCTTCGAAATTTGAAATGTACACATACATCTTATCTATCTTCCTGCCTGATTGTGATGTCTTCCGCCTACCTTGTCGCTCAGCAGTGTCCATGGGACCAGCCGAAACTGGAAGGTGCCATCTGGGGCGTAGCACCTGCCAAAACAATAACCACAACCATGACAACCACCACATGTGAAGCCGTTCAGGAAGAAGCATGAAGGTGTTCATGCACCAGGCATGGTCCTCCCGAGCTCAAGCACACAGCGGGCGGCGGCAGACAAGGATGCCCTCTAGCGCGACCCGGAACCGGCGAAACACCTCGGCAGCCCTCCGATTCCATCTCAAACTTTTGGCCAGCAACAACCCCAAAGCCGAATTGAAAGCGCCCCCCCACACACGCCCAAGATGATATGTCGAACCTGTCTGCGCAGCGCCTCGCGCGCCCAAATAACCTCTTCCACACGCCCGCAACCCATGCGCTTCCTCACCACCACAACCCCCCTCCGCAACGCAACACCCATCTCCGCAAGCACCGCAACGCAATCTGCCGGCCGTCAAGGCGACTCGACTTCCTCGCACAACCCGCCAACTGCGACTTCCACATCTGCGGCCCAGCCGTTCAGCGAGCCGTTAACGCCAGCCGCGAGTCCGGATTTGAAAGCCACGGCTGCGGAAGCCGCGAAGAAGAAGGCTGCCCCGCTGGTGAAAAGCAGTATACCAGCTGGCCAACCGCTGAAGGGGTTGAACTTTTTGAAAGATAGACAGGATCCTGTTGCGTTGGCTGACGACGAGTATCCGAGTTGGCTGTGGACGATATTGGATCGGCAGGAGAAGAAGGCGGATGCTGGGGCGGGAGATTTGTTCTGTACGTTCCTTGCCATTGCATACTTCCCCACAAGGTCCATCATAGCCTAGGAAAAGAAGAACAGTTTTACTAACGACTCCCCACAGCGAAATCGAAAAAACAACGTCGTCTAGCCGCAAAACGCCTCCGCAAGGAACAAGCCATGAACCCCGAGATGCTGGCCCCCAAAGTACCGCTATACGAACAGACGATTGATCTACCGGCCGGAGACGGGAGTTTGCAGGGCGCAGTCAAGGCGCAGGATGCGAGAGAGGAGTTGACAAAGGCGATGAGGAATAAGCGGAGGGCGGGGATTAAGGAGGCTAATTTCTTGAAGGCTATGGGGTAGATTGTCGGAGACTTTCTCTTGCTGGTGGGCGGGATGTTGTGGTGGCGGTGGTGTAAAATATGGGAGATGCACGACTATCATGATATGTATAAACATCTGTGGGTTTAGAAATATGTATGTACCTTGGAGAGGGGACATGTTGGCTGATATGAAGCATACGCTTGACTTGATCACTCTCAGCATACATTGTAAAACAGACAAGGATACCAACCATAAGTGTTCAAAACATGGATTCTCGCAATACACCCGTATAACTACTTTTAACACAGCCCAAACATCCAACTAGAAACGCCACAAATGCACCCTCATCTCCCATCCCACCAACCCACGCCAACCTAGGGAAAACCTGAACAGCCTGGAGCCTACGTTGACGTTGGGTCACCTATTTTGCAAGGTTCTGGGTCCTCGTAGTCTGCAGACCTGTTCAGTTTTTTTTCTTTGAATGAGGTGAACCTAAGCAACATCCACAAACCCCCTCTTCTTCCTATTCTCCTCCCCATCCATCCTATCCACATCCTCCCACCTAACCAACCTCGCCTCATCCACCCTCTCCCCCACAAACCTCAACGCCGCAACATTGAACCCAATCAAATCCTTGTTGCCCATGAGTGTGCTCCGCAAATCATTGCGCATACCCTCCAGCACAGTCTTGAGTTCGCGACTGGACACAATCTGCTTCTGATGCGTTTTGAGCATGAAGAAGAGGACGCGGCAGGTCAGTGTTACGTTCCACTGTTTACGCACCCAGATAGCGAGGAAAGTGAAGAGAGCGGGGAGAGAGGAGAAGGGCAGGACGAGTAACGCGTCGTGCAGTTGTGCAGCGGGGATTTTGGAGAGCGTATTGAGGACGTGGCGCTCGGCGGAGATGTTGCCCAGAGCGAGGAAGAGGGGGTTGCGCTGTGGCGGCGCGATTTTAGGGTTGGTTCTGCGTTGGGCTTCCCAGTCTCGGACGACTTCGAGGTCGGCGATGCCTAGGTCCAGTGCTTCTTGTATGCGTTCTCCGGCGGTGAGGGTCGTGATGGTTTGTTTGCTGGCGTCGACGGCTTCGGCGCGGGTGCCCGTGGGGTCTTCGTCGTCTTCGAGGTTGGTGGCGAGAGTCTTTTCGTACATCTCTTCCAGCTCGCGTTCGCGCTCTTCTTCGAGGAAGATGGGCTCGTCGGAGCGCGTCCAGATGCGTATGCTCTTGTCGTGGCTGGCTGTGACGATGAAGTCGCCTGTTCGCGCGACGGTCATGGCCCAGATTTCGCCGTGGTGGCCTCTGAACTTTTGGACTTGTTGGAACTTGTCGCCGTCCCAGCTCTTGATTGTGCGGTCCTTGGAGGCACTGAAGAAAATGTGGCGTTCGTCGTTGTCGACGGGGTGCGGGATGAATGATATTTGCATGATGCTGTCTTCATGGCCGAAGAGCGCCTTGTGACAATCTCCAAAGTCGAGACCCCAGATACGGACGTTTTTGTCGGCAGAACAGGTCGCGATGAGCTTGCTGTCGCTGGAAATCGACATGTTGAGTACGGGCAGCTTGTGGCCGTACAGGTTGAGGAAGAGCTTCAATGAGTCTACGAAGAATACTTTCACGGTGTTGTCGAGCGTCGCTACGGCGAGTAACTTTGAGTCGGGTGAAAACTGCACGCTTAGAACGTCGTCGTTGACCTTGAGTATGCGCGACTGGGTCAGCTTCAAACGAGGTGTTGTGCGTTTTGTTCCCGGTATTTCTTCCTGGACAATGTCGAAATTCCAGAACTTGATGGACTTGTCGGCGCTGCCAGTGGCGAGTGACTTTCCGTCGGGGTGAACTTGCATAGTCCAAACAGCCCCCTCGTGTGCGTCGATCTTGTCCAGCAATGTCGATGCCGCTATGTCGTACAGTTCGATATCACCATCCTTAGTTCCTACAACGACGATCTTGTCTCCTGGTAAGAACGCACAGCAAAGTGCATAGCCGCATTCTAGAGTGCGCAGGCAGTTTTTTGTCTTGACATTCCAGATCTTCAGTCCTCCACTTGACGCGGATGCCAGCATGCGATCATCGGAGCTGAGTGCAAGTGCTCGTACATCGTTTCGGTGGCCGGAGAGCTCGACAGATAGTGTACGGCTGTAGTCGGGTGCTTCCTCGCTCTTCGTTTTGCTTCTTTGGGGTATCTCGTAAACGTCGATGAGGTTGTTGTTCGTGCCGACCAGTAGCTGTAGCTTCTTCGTTCCTTTGATGTGCATCCACGCGACTGATCTCACTTTCCCGGAAGTTCGTACGGTCACATAGGGTACAAAGACTTCGCCAATCTCGGCATCCGTAGCGTCGACTTTGTCGTCAGCATCAGCATCGTCTTCAACGTCTCCGTTTTTCTCGGTCTTGGCCTTTTCTCGCCTCCTCTTCCTCTTCCTGATCAAAGCTTTGCGGACCTCTTCTGGCGTTTTTATCCGCCATATCTCAACGGCCTTCTCTGCGCCATGTACAGCAATGTAATCTGCCTTGGCGTAAAAGGAGATTCCTTGTGTCCTGTCTTTGCCCGTCCGGTAAAGTATGCCTCTGGAGGTAAGGTATTCCTGCTCGAACCCTTCACCGATTGCTGAACCCGCTCTTCGAAGACCTGCCTGGTCGATAGCCCACACTTTGAGTTCTCCATCATTGCCGGCAGTTATGCAACCGCTGCCGTCCGGTGAAACACCAAGGGCCCAGCATTCTCCGTTTGTTTGTGCAATGTGGGTCTCGATGCAGTGCTGAGTCGTGACATCCCAGATCTTGATCAACGCGTCTTTGCTAGTCGATAGTAGGAAAGCTTGATCTGCATCCACGTCCATCTCTTCGTCCTCCACGCCATCTTCTTGCGGAGCACTACCAGGATGGAGGAACTGCAGGCCAGTAATCTGGCCCTTGTGCCCTCTCAGCTTGAACAAGCCGGTTTCTGAGACCAGATCCCACACAACAATGTCCGTATCTTTGGCACCACTCGCCAGCCGTACTCCACTCTGGTCAAAAGTCAAGACTGTGACTGCGGATTTGTGGCCATTGAAGCTGATGATGACGGTCGACGTTCGCGCATCCCATATGCGTATGCTTCCGTCGGCGTAGCCCACAGCGAAGACGTCCGGGTCGATATCGCTCCGACATATTACGGTGACTTCTTCGGTGCAGGTGTTGTCGCGCCATCTGCTCATAAGTTCGCCCTTCTTTACATCCCAGCACAGCACTTCTTCGTTGGCGGCGGCGTATGCGCGTCCGGCGCCTGCGACTCGACTCGAACCGGGCTGCGTGAGGCTTTCGGGGGTCCATACAATGTTGGAAGTGGCAGTCGCGACCACGCCGAAAGCATCGGACTGCTCATACTTGCTATGTAACAGTTAGTATGAGCTCTGTTCGACTTGCGCTGCATGTGCGCATTACCTGTATGATTTGACCATTTTGCGCCGCCTCTATAAAATTCCGGATACTACGTGAGGATAGGGTTTGAGGGATCTCAGAGTCAGTCTCTTCAGGTCATTGCGCTCCTCAGACAATGTTCGTGGGTATGCGCCACTGGTAACGGTCGGGTTGGGAGTTGGTTACTTTCTCGAAACTTTTTAGACAAGGGCCAACCCCACGGATTGCGCTAGACCCACCTTCCAGCATCACAGCACACCTCCGTCCTCCGCATCACCGCCCTCGAATAGCTCCCCGCCCGACGACGCCCACCCGCCTACGAGGAGCTGAACCGCCAACATGCTTCTTCTCGACTATCAAAACGTCCTGATCGAATCCCTCCTAAGGGAACGAATCAATGGGTGCGCCATACCCCGCTGCCTTCCGCTCCGCAGCACCAGCCAGGTAGCTAACAGCACATAGAGGAGCTACCGCCAACATTGACCAGGTCGTCTCCGACTTCGACGGCGTCACCTTCCACATCTCAACCCCGGAGAGCAAGACCAAGATACTAGTGTCATTGCACATCAAGTGCTTCAAGGAGCTGGTCCAATACGGCGCGCAGGCAGTGCTGGAGCGAGAGTATGGGCCTTATATCGTGGAGCCAGAGTCTGGCTATGACTTCTCCGTGCTGGTAGATTTGGAGAACCTGCCAGAAGAGCAAGGTACGGTCTGTTGTCAGACTGCTGGAACGAGGTGCTGACGGTGTGCAGATGCCAAAGAAGACCTGGTCAGGCGCGTTTCCCTCCTCAAGCGGAACGCCATGGCTGCACCCTTCGAGCAAGCCTTCGACGAGTTCCATGAGTTGCAAGAGGAAGCTTCCAAGTACACATCCGAGTCGGCGCCACAGGGTGTAGCAGAGGGCGGTGCCGTGCGCGCGATCCACTACCGAGAGGAGGAAGCCATCTACATCAAGGCCAGCCACGACCGTGTCACCGTCATCTTCTCCACCGTCTTCCGGGAAGAGACAGACAGGATATTCGGAAAGGTCTTCCTTCAGGAGTTCGTTGACGCCAGGCGGAGAGCTATTCAGAACGCACCACAAGTGCTGTTCAGGAATGACCCGCCGCTTGAGCTGCAAGGCATCCCCGGAGTTGACAACTCTGGCTCAGCTGAGATTGGCTACATCACATTTGGTGGGTCGCCTAACACGATTGACTGTACGTCCTGCTAACCTCTGCAGTACTCTTCCCTCGCCATCTCGCCAAGCAACGGCGCGATGAGGTTATCTCGCACATCCAGACCTTCCGCGATTACTTCCACTACCATATCAAGGCTTCCAAGGCTTTCATCCACACAAGAATGCGCAAGCGGACCGCAGACTTCCTCCAAGGTATGTTGTGCCAGGTTGCCTGCGCCAGGTTTATACTGACAAACTATAGTGCTTCGCAGAGCCCGACCCGAAACAGAGGAGAAGGAGAAGAAGACGGCCAGCGGTCGTACTTTCAAGGTTCAGGCATAGACGAAAACGAGAAATTGTTTCGATCACAAGGCGGCATGCGCTGCACATGTCTAGTGAATTGAGGAGGGCCATTGATGGCCAATGCAGGATGAAGTATCAGAGAGAGCGTACCATGTAGTTAGCGATGATTGAACCCGCCTGATG